CTTTTCAGGACCCCACCTTGATGTTTCGGGACCCCACTTTGGGTCTCGACCCCAACTTTGGGAAACACTGCTTTATAAAACACTGGATATTTATTGTTTCTATCGCGATATGTTATTGAATTATTTCCCAGGCATACCCTGGCTTAAATAGTTTCTCCTGCTTGGACTGCCTTCAGTTTATGAGTTTATTCCACTGTTGGTCGAGGACTGAAATGTCCTCAGTTTGTTTCAGCTTTTCATCATTACATAGAGAGAAAATGACATCATTCAACAGAGAGACTAAATGCTTGAAAACTATGGAAACAGTAAAAATACTCTCAYAGTAGCCTGCAACAAATCAGTTATAAAGACCTGTGAACAAAACGTAATTCAACATGCTCCACACTAAGAAAAAAAATAGAAAGATAAAGAAGGGAAATGTCCACCTTGGTGGAAAAATTTATCTGGCTCACCATTAACATACTAAAATATACAGAACATCAAATGTTGCATTAAAAACTTATAAAAGTTCATATAAACACATTCATACAAACATTTTGAAATAGGCCTACCTCCACCAGATATCAGTCAGATATGAGTCATCACTTGGTTTGATTGAGAATAGTGATGTTGTTTGGGACAAAATAGGTTTTTAAATACTTTTTACCAAAGGAACTGTAAAGGGTGTCTCAGACTTCAGAGGCTCAAACTGACTAAAAGGAGGGTGTGGATAATCTGCAATAAGCTTTCCTGTTTGTCCTGTCAGTACACTGTAAAAAATGAAATGTTGGATTTACTTAACCATGTTATGTGACCTGGTTCCACTTAACTGAGTTAAGTAAATTCAAAGCAATATACCAGTTTTTTAACCAAAGAACATGAGCATGTTGTTTTGAATTTACTCAACTCAGTTAAGTGGAACCAGGTCACATAACATGGTTAAGTAAATCCAACATTTCATTTTTAGAGCATATAGAGGTGGACCACATACTTTAAAGTATTTAAATGGCGGCCCGCGGGCCCAATTTGGCTCGCGAGTGACCAAAGTTCAGCCCACCAATTGGTTCATTCATCTCTTAAGCCAAATCCCTGGTTTTCCACTTTAATTACTATAAGTTATTTTAGTTCAACACAGACATGTTTGTATCTACAGAAACAACTGAAGCTGGTAAAAACCATTTCTATGCACACCAAAGACAGCTAAAACCACAAGCAGTTGAAAATAAAACTATGAAAGTGAAAATAAAATTGGTTTAAAATTTTGACAAGTCAGAGATGTCAAAGTAATATTTGTGGTAAATAAGAGGCATAATGTGTTCTTTTTGTTTTTACAGTGGTTTGCAAAAGTATTCATACCCCTTGAACTTTTCCATATTTTGTCACATTACAACCACAAACATAAATATATTTCACTGGAATTTAATGTGAAAGACCAACACAAAGTGGTATACAATTGTGAAGTGGAAGCAAAATTTTACATGAATCAAAACATTTTTTACAAATAAAAAACTGAAAAGTGCGACGTGCAAAAGTATTCAGCCCCCTTTTCCCTGAGTGCAACCAATTGCATTCAGAAGTTGCCTGATGACTGCTAATGACTCAAAAGGGTCCACCTGTGTGTAATCTAATCTCAGTACAAATACAGCTGCTCCGTGACGGCCTCAGATGTTGGTTAAGAGAATATTGGGGAGCAAACAGCATCATGAAGTCCAAAGAACACACCAGACAGGTTAGGAATATGGTTTTGGAGAAGTTTAAAGCAGGCTTAGGTTATAAAAAGATTTCCCAAGCTTTGAACATCTCACGGAGCACTGTTCAATCCATCATCCGGAAATGGAAAGAGTATGGCACCACAGTAAACCTGCCAAGACAAGGCCGTCCACCTAAACTTACAGGCCGAACAAGGAAATCACTGATCAGAGAGGCAGCCAAGAGGCCCATGGTGACTCTGGATGAAATGCAGAGAGCCACAGCTCAGGTGGGGGAAACTGTCCACAGGACAACAATTAGACGTGCACTACACAAATGTGGTCTTTATGGAAGAGTGGCAAGGAGAAAGCCATTGTTAAAAGAAAACCATAAGAAGTCCCGTTTGCAGTTTGCCAGAAGCCATGTTGAGGACACAGCAAACATGTGGAAGAAGGTGCTTTGGTCAGACGAGACCAAAATTGAACTTTTTGGCCACAATGCAAAACGCTATGTGTGGCGGAGAAAGAACACTGCACATCACTCTGAAAACACCATCCCCACTGTCAAATATGGTGGTGGCAGCATCATGCTCTGGGGGTGCTTCTCTTCAGCAGGGACCGGGAAGTTGGTCAAAGTTGATGGGAAGATGGATGGAGCCAAATACAGGGCAATCTTGGAAGAAAACCTGTTGGAGTCAGCAAAAGATTTGAGACTGGGGCGGAGGTTCACCTTCCAGCAGGACAACGACCCTAAACATAAAGCCAAAGCTACAATGGAGTGGTTTAAAAAAAAGAATATTCATGTGTTAGAATGGCCCAGTCAAAGTCCAGACCTAAACCCAATTGAGAATTTGTGGCAAGATCTCAAAACTGCTGTTCACAAACGCTCTCCATCCAATCTGACTGAGCTTGAGCTGTTTTGCAAGGAGGAATGGGCAAGAATTGCAGTCACTAGATGTGCAAAGCTGGTGGAGACATACCCTAAAAGACTTGCAGCTGTAATTGCAGCAAAAGGTGGCTCCACAAAGTATTGACTCAGGGGGGCTGAATAATTTTGCACATCGCACTTTTCAGTTTTTTATTTGTAAAAAATGTTTTGATTCATGTAAAATTTTGCTTCCACTTCACAATTGTATACCACTTTGTGTTGGTCTTTCACATTAAATTCCAGTGAAATATATTTATGTTTGTGGTTGTAATGTGACAAAATATGGAAAAGTTCAAGGGGTATGAATACTTTTGCAAACCACTGTATATTGTTTAGTTACCACAGAGTTATGTATGTTGTATTCATGATTAAATACAGCAAAATAAACTATTTYAAAGGTAACAGATCTTTTATATATTTGGTTTATTTACATAACTTCATTTGCTGGATGTTTGGCCCCTGAGCTGTTGATCTGCAGTAACTGTGGCCCCTGGAGCAATTTTGTTGAATAGCCCTCCCTGCTTTAAAGGTTTTCCCATTATTTTACTTGCCATTGCCACAAATTTGCGTTAGCAGTTTTTATATAGCCAAACCATAAAGATGAAACATTAAAACACTCTCAGTGAGTGCTAGAAGTATTATAAGTTCCATGATCTGTGCAGTGACACGCAGACAGCTCAGTCTGCTAAAATGAAGTCATCGTGAGCATTTCTTAAAAATTAATTCTGTATTTTCAATGAAGCTCAGCCGGCTGTCAATAACCGTTCCTAAATATTTAAGAGGCTCCACAATCTAAACAGCTTGGCCATTAAACAGGCAGTGCTTTAAACAAAGGATTACCTCCTTTATCTCCGCAAACAGCTAACTGCAAACATAAACCTCATCCAGAAGTTACACATCTTTGTTCAGCTGCTCTTTATCTGTGAATCTTCTGTCCCTGCTCTAACACTGCAGCTGTTAAAAACACAAACACGGAGACTTAAAGCACTTTACGTTACGACAAGAGCCATACACTTCTTTACAGTTTATTTAGATATGCTGCCACTTTTTCCAAAAACTTCATTTATACATTCATTGCACTTTATATAAAACCCTCAGAACATGCAAGTGTTTATACGGAATTTAGCAGACAGTTCTTATTAGTGCTTTATTTGAAGTTCAGTAAAACTGCTAAATATGATACAAATATTACATGCGAGTTATACATATAAATAAAATCCAAACTTTCTGATAATGCATCCCTTCAAAGATGTTATCCATCATTGACCAGCAATTTTCCACATTTAAAACACTGTTTTTTAAAAAAAAGAGATTTCTTTCAATTCTTTAACCCAGAGGCACATTTATAATCCAAGAAACATTTCAAGTAAACCCAAAAAGTGCTACTCCCATATCTGTTAGTCCTTTTTCACCGGCGGGGGAGGAGCCTGCGTTAAACCCCACTGAATTTATAAAACCTTTTCTACTTGGAGCCGTTACTCTGCTCCTCTACGTGCAAATAACAGCGCTGCCGTAACGCCACACCGAGCAGTGACCCGAACATTAAATAAATGACTGAGAGCAAAACTCATCAGTTGCAGTAACGAACACCAACGCGGTGATGTCGAGGTTCTCAAACCATTTTCYACCCAAGATTTCTTTGTAAAATAAAAAACAGGTTAGTGGCACTTTAAAGGCTTGAAATCTGATTAATGATGAACACAGTGTGGTGCAGATATATATTTTAGGAGTGCAACAATACATGTACCCGTATCGAACCATTCAATACAAACTTGTATCAAACAATACATATTTATAACGTTTATTTTATCAGCTTGTCTTCTGAAGCTGCGCTGTGCTGAATGCTCTGTAGATCTGTGTTCGACTACTCCAACGAGGCTGCACTGTCAAGCACAGATCCACCAAGAAAACTTGCTGTTGCAGCAACATTTAACTTAAAACTGTACTTTTGAGGTTAAACAAATGTTCATAATTGATTTCAACAAATTACAAGTTATGAAGGCCATGGAAACTTCTCTTTTTTGTATCGAAAAAATATCGAACCGTGAAACTAAAATATCAAACCAAACCGAATCGTGAATCTTCTGTATCGTTGCACCCCTAACACATGTGTATATATATATATATATATACACAGTATATGTGTGTGTGTGTGTATATATATACATATATATATATATATATATATATATATATACACAGTATATGTGCATGTGTGTATGTGTACACACACACATCCATGCATATATACACAGTATATGTGTNTATATATATATATATATATATACACAGTATATGTGCATGTGTGTATGTGTACACACACACATCCATGCATATATACACAGTATATGTGTATGGGCGGTGTGTTTTTTTATACAGTGCATATTTAATGTGTGGTTTTAACAAACAAACAAAAAAACGTTTATTCATCCTAACATCTGGTGTAAAATGTTTCCCAGCTCTTGCTCAGTGTTAAGGTCTCAAACCCCTACATTCAACACGTTCACATGTACCTCAAAATGAATTGTCGAAAAGTTGAAAGAGTTTCAGTGTCGTTTGCTAAGCTGTAAGGCATCTCATTAAATGTAAATACTTATTTCATCTATTTTAGGTTTTAAATAAGGTAACAAAGTCATTGTAAAAAAAAGCCCTTACATTATTCTTTTACACTTCCACTGAAATAAGCTGCAACACTAAGTGACGTCAACAAAAAGATGGTTGTAAAAATATTGATAGTTGAGACTAAAACCAAAGAATAAGATCATTTCATTTTCTTTTAGTTCATGGTTTTAATACTGGACAAGAGTTTTCAGTAGAAAAGGGATTTAAGCTGACAAAGCAAGAATTTCACTAACCTCAAACATAATACAAACTGTAACTTAAACTAAAGGAGTGGTTAGACTTCATTTGTACATTACAACGTCCCCAACCACTGATGTAAAGTATAAACAAGCAGCCGAGGTAAGGAAGGATGCTTCGAGCACACCTAATATTTCTTTTAACATTTGACGTCACTTGGGTGAAAACGAAACATGTGCTAACGCAGACGCACGTCAGTTTCAGCACTGAACTGGACTTTAAATGTTCCCAATAACTTTGTAAGGATATTGAAAAACAAAACAAAAAAAAGTTCACCTCAAAGTTATGACTCATAAGCAAAAAACAAACCAAAAAAAGGTGCTTTTGTTTCTATAAAGTAAAGAAAGGCTGAGTGTTTCACTTCCTGATCAAATTCATGACAAAAGGGTTTCAGATTGACATTATGATMATTTTATCTACCGTTTATGTGTAAAAACGTCTAGATCCACTTCCAAATCTGATGAGCTGCTTTGCGATGTGTGGGAGAATAATTCATGTTAGAGGTACAGTGTGTCCTTACCAAAAAAAACAAAACAAAAAAAAAAACAAATCTGAATATCAGACACAAGTGTCAGTGATAAAGCACTGATACTGTACAGAGTTGTACCTTTGTACTAACTTTACACCACAGTTTAAGTTTATCACAACAAGTTGTTACTGGTGTGTTTATAAGGCAAGCAGCAATCATTTTTGTGTGTCTGTGTACAAGAGTAAAATGTGTTAACGGATCCAGATGTGCATAAAAAAGCCTCCAGATTGATTGACACTGGCAAAGCTCCTGGTTGGTTTTCACCTATGATTACACGGTTTACGGTGTTCGGTCTTACCTGAACCTGAAAAATTAAAAGGTTAYAGCCGTGTGACGATATACCTCTTTTCAGAATAATCTCCCAAAGTTTAATCATGTTCAGTGTCAACGTCAGCACCGGCTTTTCCAAACTAAACTTGGTTTGACTACGAGCTCATTTCTGAATCTTTGTGTCGGCGCAGAGTGTTGTTCACGACACCCTGGCTTCCATCGGGCTGATTAACGGTCACTGCGTCCGTGTGGCTGAATGTACACACGTTATTGTAGGCGTGTGTGTGTGTGTGTGTGTGTCCGTCAGCACCACGGCTCACGTTGGGCTCTGCCTCGAGCCAGGCTGTCTGCCCTCTGCCAGGCGCTCTTCATCAACTCCAGGGCCTCGCCGCAGCGTTTCTGCACCAACGGCTCGGACATCTCTTTGTGGGGCAGGTCGACCTGTGGACGGTGACATTTTTAAAGATTTAACCCCACAGAACACGTGGCTGTTGTAGATGATTAAAGCTGTTATTCTTAGGCTGACAAGAACAAGAAACTAAGCACAAAAAAAGCAAGGAAATTTGTGTTCGGCAGATTATTTCTTTGTTGTGACAACTCTTCTTGGCACCTGATCGGCAGCACCTGGTGCTACCAGAAGCTCAAAACTAGAGTCAATAACAGCAAAATAAGCTGTTTGGCAGAAAAGATTTGGCAAATGTTCCATGTGCACAACCCACATCCTCAGCTCTACTGCTCATCCCACAAATGCATGATCCTTACAAATGTGGCACCATTTAAAGGGTAAATGAACATTATTTCCAATGGTATAGGATTTATTACTAAGAAGCATTGTTACAACAAAGAAATAAGTTACCAAGCACAAATTTCCTTATTTTTTGTGCCAAATTTAAAGAGCAACATGATTCCGAGTACAGGTGTAAAGATTTTAAGAAGCTGTTTAAATTTTAACAATGTGCTTTTAGTTTTGTAACGCAT